CACACGTCCATTAATTTTAATTGTCAAATTGTGTATAATTATTTTTTCTTTTCTTAGATTTCCTTTTTTCGCAATGAATAATTTCGTATGTAATGGCAATTGTTTTAAATGATTTCTTTGTTCATTTACAATATTCTGTGAAATAATATTCACTCAATGACTTTTGATTCATTGCACTAAGCTAGCTTTGTTTAATAGTTTTCATTCACTTTATTACATTGAGCATACATGTATTGACTTTGTTATTGAGCATACATGAATCAACATTGTTGATATCGTGTGAGTACAATATAGGCTTTTTTCACAATTCGTAAGTAATCTTCACATATATTAATAAATAACTACTAGTCTGAAAATTTATATAAATAAAACAATTAATCAAATAATTAAAAGAACTTAATCTTAAGTGTGGATGTAATACTGAGTATACCATTTATTCATTATCAAATAATGAATATGTATTAAACAGTAGATAAATTAACCTTAATATTTATTTGTGATTGCTGTTTAACTTTAATTGTATGGTATTTTTCTTGAAGTATATGTATCAAACAGAAAAAAAGAAACCACGCATATCGATTCCATACAATCTACCAATGTTAACAAATCCTATTTTTATGTTTTATGTTTATCAAACCCTTTTGATTGGACATTTCCAAACTAAGCAAATGTATTGATTACTTTAGTATTTCCGCATTCACTCTACCATCTTAAGTTTTTCTACCATTGGCTTATCACTATTATCGTCGTTTATTCACACCCACAGCTTAAAAACATCCAGTAAACGATGTTAGTCACAAAAAAAGAGATAATCCTATATTCTTGTCAGTATTTTGCTATAGAACTTTATTTTACGAAATTATTTTCAAAGTGGTCATACTAAGGGAGATTTTTTCATCATTCTTCCACATGTTCTTCCAGTACTTCAATTCATGCATATATCTTAAATTTTTGAGCAATAGAATTCTTCTTCTCCATATTCGAGAATAAATCATATTGCACTTCTTTTATGTCCATACAGTGTTTTACATATTAAAGCTGCAAGAAAGAAATATGCAAAATATTTTTTATATAAATTTAAGGTTTTTAAAAATGTTACTTAATCACTGGAAAAACATGAAATCTGAATATCACCCTTTTAAAACAACTTATTTTCATAATTTTTTTTCCAGCTTCAATAAATTGAAAAAAAAAGTTTGAGGAAAGAGTAGTTAACAAAAATAAGTTTGTTTCTACTCTGTATTTGTGCTTTTGATTGATTTTGGGATTATTTTAGTATAAACATTTTAGGGCACAAAAAAATCTCAGGTCATGATCATTATTAGCATTTGGCAGCTAATATAAATATAGTATAATCTATAGTTTAGAATTGAAAAGTCAGCATATCTAGACCTATGTATATTCATATATGTATTTTGATATATTAACTTTTCCTGTATATTCATGTTTTGTGTCATGATGTTTCAAAACCGTTTTTGGTAACACTGAAATAAACTGGTTTTACTTAATAGAAACTCGTAGTAAACGATTTTAATGATCTGTTAACACTACAAAAAATCTTCGTCTTACATAACCACAAAAAGTAGTTAATATATTTATTTACGGAAATTCAAATATTTGTAATATGAAATGATAATTAAAAATATGTGTCCACGTAATTTTTAATAGTAATTGAAGCAAAGATTTAACTTAATAGTTGAAGTCTAAAACAAAAAACTATCCATTTTTAGGTGTTTTGTATGATTTATCTGAGTGGTCTTTGAGAGATCTCCCCACTAATAACATTTCCGTGCCTACAAACAGTGTCACGGCATACCAATATTACCTCAACGGAAGTGACGTTTTCAACATCACAAGTAAAGGTAATTATGTCATTATGACTGTTGCATGTTTAATCTACTGTGTACAGGTAAATTTTCATCCCCATATTATTTTCGCCTTTTCGCCTTACTTTCATTTGAGCGAACTTAAAACGGGGGCAAATTCAAAGAATACAGTATAATTTTTTAAATAAAACGATGACTGGTCATATTTAAAACGGGGCAAAACTTGTTTGCAAGTGTGAAAGGGCGAAAATAACCTGGTGCAAAAATAACCCTCTATACAGTATTTAAAACTAAATTTAAATAAAAAGATAATTCGTTAGAATAAAAAAGGACACAATCTACTATTGTTCATCCTCAATTAATAGATATCTCCTCTCTAAATATCCTTTTACATTGTTCATTGCAGTGTGTGAATTATCAGGAACTGAGATTTTAGGATTCATTACATTCACTTCCTGTAACAAGGGCCTTGTCTTCAGCAATCATGCCAGCTCATTAAATCTATTTCATGTACTTTTCACCAAAGATGAAAAACCATGCATCATACCATCCTCGTCATCATCGTTATCCATTCTGGCCGACTGTCGTCTGCTAAACAGAGCGTTTCATTCTATTGCGTCACATAAAAATTGGAAAGCAGTCAACGTTATTTATGACGACTTCTACGGTTTGTTTTTATCACTTCTTTTTTCAACCAGTAGTAAATCCGAAAATTCCGTTTAACACTCTAATTAAAAGAGGTCTCCAATGTTATGCTTAAATTAAGCAAATAAGTATTTGTTTTCTATTAGCACAGTGCACTGAATGTGAATAGTACGATTGAAACCATTCAAAAGGTACCTGCATGAAACGAAAAATAAAAATTTTCTCATCTTTAATAGAAATAATTACTTTTTAATCAATATCACTTTTGTCTATAATCAATAACATTGAGAACATACGATTATACATATTAATAATTAGTTTTCATAATTTACTCCCATCAGGCGCCAATTAACGCACCATAGCCAGGAAATGGAATGTTTTCTCGTGTCATCTGGATTAATAATGTCACAACTAAATAATCAGAGTTTGAATAAAATGAATTATTCAATAATGTTTACTTATATTAGTTTATAAATGGAGGAAAAAAATATTTTATCAATGATATTGATTAAACACACCTATCACTTAGTTAAATTGCCTACGCTTCACTTCACCCTTTAAGCTGTATTCTACGTTGTACGGCATTTTGATTAAATACGGATGGATCGGAAAAGTAGGCTCAGGGAATTTCAATGCGTTGTTAAGCTGTTTTAACTATTCATTTGATTGCTGGGACGTGAAATAGCTAAAGCTGAATATAGGAATATACCTAGAGGAAATCCTACCACATCAGCTATAACAAGTGTACTAATATCGCAAGGCAGCTGAGAGATTGGATGTGATGTTAATAGAGACTGTAGGGAAAGAAATCACAGATTGATTACTAAATTTGGTACTTTTAGGAATAGAAACTGTCTTGTTCCAGAATCGAAAAGTACTCACTTTTCTAGAAGGTCAAAATTCTCATTGACTTCTTCTGAGATAAGTACAAATGATTCATTAGTTAAAATCAGCATAAGTGGTAACAGAGTCAGCTTAAAATAAGTCACGTGTCTCAAAAATATATTTTCAGAGGTGAATTATGAAGAGATATAATTAGCTCGAAAAGAGAGGTCAAGAACTATACTTTTTAAGGTTTATCGAATTGAAAACATACATATCTGAAAAACAGCAGCCATTCAGATAATTAGAAAATTTGTTAAAAGATAATACTCCAAGGACTTAAGTCAAACATGTTTTTATCAAATATATTGAAGCAACATGCATCATGAAATTATAAATGAAAAATTTAAAACCCTAGCATCAACCGTTCAAATGTTAATGGCAAGGGTATTTTTTTCACATATATACGTCAAACTCTTAGCCAGGATAAAACATATGGGTACCGAAAGAAAGACCTTGTCATAAGGAGTAAGTGTGTGATACATGTATATGACTAGAGCTCAAGATTTTTTAGTGGGTCAAACTCCAAAATCAAAGTCAAAAGGTTAAATATAGATAGCGAAAGAAAGGTCTTGTATATAATGAAATAGGATACTAATAGCTCTAACCATTCAAAAGTGGTGGATACGCGAAGTTTTTTGCGGACCAGCATATTAACAGACAGACTGACAGACCAAAATATTGTTTCTGATGTTAATATTGATATTGTAAATTGAATTTTTCAAAATTACAATTTAAAATGGAATTGGAAGCTACTGTAAGTATTTAGAACTCTTAACAAAGTACAATAAATGTTAAACAACACTAAATTCGTCTTATTTTAACCCCAAAAAATGATCTCATACAGATCTTTATATATGCAAATGTTGTCAAAAAGGTTCATGAATATAACGATTCATTTTTCAGGCTTCTTCCTGTAAGATGTTCAGTAGACAATACTTCTGGGTGCTTAGCATAGATCCAAATCTGTAATTGGATACTGATCTTCCAAATGCGCTTCAACATGCATATGGAAATATAATTACTGTATCAAGAAACATTGCTTTTAACAACAATTTTAGCGTAAGTGTGTGGGTTTTTTTTTTAAAGAAAAAAATGATTTGCAAGGAAATATGTTGTAGATTTGATCATCCAAACATCAAAGCTACAATTTCTCGAACATTCTTTGATTAATAAATGATTAAAATGGAATAATTAAAAGACGCAGCCTGATTAATGAAAGGTTGAATTAATGGAGAACATATTTTTTGTTAAACGTAGTTTTGAAATAAATGTAAACTGAAATGCTTTTAGCCATTGTAATTTACCAATTCTCTGGACCATTTATTCGAATTTTTTTTATGCTTCAGCTTTCCAATGTCATTCTGACTGATGTTATAATGGCCTACAGACATAGTTTACAGTCGATGTTGAGTAATAACTCGTCCATTTCCATAGGGACATACGACTGTAATACTAACAGACCCACCCCAGACAATAGTCAGCTGCATCAAAGCTTGCTGCAGGTACTGTATGTTTACTTTGCCTTAATTATCCATTGGTACAATAAATCACTTGCCAGAGATTCACAGTTGACTTCAGTTTAATTTAATTAAGTTCAGTCTAAGTCAAATTTTATTTAAAAGAAATTATAAAAATATAAAATACATGAATGAAAGTATGCACTGAATGAAAATTAATTCAATCTGTAATTGTGAAAGCACAAATAAAATCTATGAATTAAAAGAAAGAAAGAAATAAGACCTCTGCTGAGATTTAATAACACACTTGTGTAATTTGAATGAATCTGTGTATTTTTTTTTTTTGATCGTTTTCATTTTAAATGAAGACATCGACGTGTTTAAAAGAATCTTCCAATTTTCCTGACATATGAAAATAGCTTATAATTTATGCTTTATTCCTTGACAAAAATATTTCTCTAACTAATTTTGAAAGCAAAAAATAATAACATTCAACAGTTTTTAACTAATTATATTATTCTCTTCTATTTTTAACAGACACTCTGACAAACGATGGATCGGGTCATATAACCGTGCTGAATTCTGAGCGCCTTAACTCTGCCACTGGACATCTGAAAGTTATTCATGGATATGCCACTCCCAGTGGCACCCCTGGGAAACTTACAGTTCATTTGGAGACTGTCATATTCGACGCCCCTTGTAAGTATCATGCATTTTTGCGCATAGTGTGAAAAATATAATTCTGCATTGTCAAGATTCACCTAATAATACATTTATTTCTCTCAGGCACAATTTTTCTACAGACTGATCCGGTAGCTAAAAATTTGCTTTATAAAAAAAGAAACATGACGGATTTCCCCTCATCATGACAAGAAGCACATGGCGGTGTGACCGGTCGGTAGGTGATGCTGACTCCTTCATAGCATCTGATCCCACCTCTGATGTTATGGTGCTCTGCGTTTGCTCTGTTCCGATCTTGTATTGTTTTATGGACTTTTGAGCTTGAATACTGAATACATATATTTCATGGAGATAATGAATCAAGCTGAAAAGTCCATTTCAACAACCAAGATCGGAAGCTGAGCTTAGAAAGTGGATCAGACGTCAGATATGTTCAGGTAGCTACTAATAATTGGATGCTAGTAACTGAATAGGACATTTAAGTAAGATTAGCTACTAGTGCCTGGCTATTTGTAACGGACTTAAATGTGAATAAAGCTAGTTATTAGTTACTGGCTAGAACATATGAGTAAAGTTAGCTACTAGTAATTGGCTAATAGGCCAAGTTACAAACTAATATAAAATGTGAGTAAAGTTCCAGGCTACTGACTTCATTACAAATACTAATTTAAAGTTAAAAAGAAATAACGAATGCATTTACTAGTAACTAGTGGCTAGCTTTATTCACATTATCAGGTGAGTTAGTTACTAGTTACTTGTTACAAGTTACTAGTAGCTAACTTAACCAACTTGGTGTGGTCAGTTACTAATAGCTAACCTTAATCACATGTCCTAGTCAGTTACCAGTAGCTAATTACTAGTATCTAACTTTACATGGAAGAGTAAGTGAAATACTGGTGATAACGAACAGTATTCAAGTAAGAGAAGAGAAGGAGTAAGAAAATTCTTTTTTATAGTAATTTTATTAACATACCATGTTTCGATTTGCGCTTTAGATTGGGAAATCAAGCTTGGACCAGCTACATATGGTAGTGAAAATAAATATCAATACACTGTAGTCAGCGACAATGTCAAGGCCACACTTCTTGTGCTCGCCCGTGACCCGGAAATGTTTGAAAGGGACTATGAGGCCGAGGTCTTACAATTTTTAAAAGAAAAGGGTTTTACAACTATAGTTAACAGGCCAGTGAAAACTTATCATGAAAGTGAATGTACATATAATGATCAACATGAATAGACATTAAAATGCTATATAAAAACGTATGATAAAAGTTATTGTAAATAAAATGATTAACACAATAAGATAAGTCATATGTATATACGCATGTACATAAGAAAAATTAAGAATAAGAAGTATACATTTTACTCATTCAATGTATACTTATTGCATATGTACATCATATCTTTTCCAAGAAATATTGGATACTGTGATTGAGTGTTATTTTGTGAGTACGATTGTACGGTTATTACCATTATTGATAACAAAACGATACCATGGCTGTAAATCTTCATACCAATTTTGAATATATTTAAAATCAACTACGATAAAATTGAATTTTTGTATACCAAAGAATTATATTTTATGTATGAGAAGAAGTAACTTGTTTCTTGCATCATTTAATAAATAACAGTGTAAAAAGATATCACCAGTCTCGTTAAAGTCATCATTTCGTATGATCTACGGTCGATGCAATGAACTGGTCAGCTAATACAATTTAAAATTTAACCAAATGCTGATTGACGTTTTTCATAACCATTGTTAGGCAATTATATACATATTGTATTGTCGACGAATTTTTCTGTTATTTCCTGACCATGAAAAGAAGCACACGGCGGTCTTGTCCAGTCGGTAGGGGATGCTTACTCCTCCATATCTGATACCTGATCCCATCTCTGATGTTTTGAAAGTCCGTGTTTGCCTTGCTCCTATTTTGTACTGTTTAATAGACTTTTGAGCTTGAATACTGTTCACTATCTTCATATATTTCAAAGATTATGTTTTAAATTACAATTTACAATGTATTTAAAAAATACAACGATAGTAGAAGTAGTTTTTCCCGTTTTACATATTTTATTTGTATGAATAAAATCAAAAAAGGTGAAAACTCTTTGAAAATCGATACGCCAATATAATAAAAAAAAATATGCTCCCATATAAAATTCAATTTGCCGTCTGACTTGATGTAATTTTTGCACTATGGGTAAAAATACTTTCCTTCAAATATCAGTTAATACAAAAGACATACCTGGGTATTCAAACGTATACATGTATATATGCAAGTACAATGTATATGTAATTACTAAATTGTCATGAGTGTATTCCATTTGCACATATTATACAATAAATTAATTTCTGGAGTTTATATATTATTTAAAGAGTATACGTACACATAAACAACCAAGAAAGATGGCTGGTCAATAAACAAAAAATGAAACAGCATTTAAAAAATTACACTCAGCTTTATAATTGATGACATTACAATTAATAAATTATGATTTAAATGTCTATTCATCTACAGTTATTTCTATGATCTGTTTTAAACATATAATAACATTGATGATCACTATTAAATTAATAGAATGACATAAATAATGAATTTTAGGTAAATGCAAGTAT